ATGTGTGATAAATGCAGCCAGTTGGGGGAGTTTTCACGCTCATTGGAGCAGGTCATTATTCAGGAATTGCTGCTCGCTCGGCCTAGACCGGCCCTGTATTGGTTTATTCAGACGCATGCAACCGACGGTGTGCGATTTCCCCTAAACCGCTTAGCCAACCCCCCTCTCGCACACACTCACTCTCACACACACACGCACACGCACACACACACACACGCACACACACCCTTGTTGCATGTCTCCTAGGACACACTGGCATTAAACATCTGCTTCTTAACTGTAATATCTCAACCACAACTACACAGGCAGTGGGTGGATGGAAAGATATAGGTATTAAACACAGAGCAAGCAATGTGTCCAAAAAAGGGACATTCAGGGCTGGGATGAAGGGGCAGAAGAGGAATATTACAGTTGGGAGTTCACTTCAGCCCTCAGTGAGACTTTCAGGACCAGATGAAGCTAAAAGGTGTTGTTCCTCCATGAGGGAATTTGCCAATTAACACCTCAACACTGGCCTGAGTTAATCTTCAAGTTCATACATGCAGGCTTGCATAGGTTGCTTTGTGTGATTGGGAAAATTAGATATGATGGAGATCGAATAACAAACACGGCCACAAAAACAAAAACTGTGACTACAAAAGGGCCACGATGATGTGTTTCCTAGGTGGGATTGCTTTGATAATTTCAACTACACTACAACTGCCCATCATAGTTTGCTCTATACTTTGCTGGTAAAAGTGTTTTAAATTGATTTTGGCTTCCCATTAAGCCAAAAAAATCCCTCATTGTTGACTTTGTAAGATGCAACTCAAAATAACTAAATCTACGCTGTGACAGCATCAGCAGAATGAGGGTGTGTTAATCAGATTTTACATCGTACTGAACAGAATGACTTTTTTCATTAATGCCTATCATGTGAATGCAACATAAGGAAGGTGACACAAAGACGCAGGTTCATCACTGGCGCTGACGACTTGATGTCCTATAGGTGTTTTTCAAAGAACTGTGATGCATTGTTTTTTTTTTCCACATATTTTCCCACATAGAAACGTGTCACATATAACACATTGTTATTAGAAACAGATGTTGATTTTATCGCCAGTGTCTGTGGCTTCTTTCACAACGTCGACACAGTGTCATATGCGCTGGGATACCAGGACACATTTGCATGACATACACACCTGTCCTCCGCAATCCAACACGCTGCTGTAACACAATACGCAAGTAAAACTCAGGAGAGTAATGTTTCATTACATGATGAACAGAAGGTGAAAGCGAGGGAGGGGAGCCGGGGAGGCACACAGATGCATAACTTAAGTAAAAGCCATCCAAACCCATATTTGTTTACAGATTTGTTTAATAAGGAAAAATATATGCAAACAAATGAATTTGCCTGTGGTTGTAACTGTGTATTAAGATCATCACTTACAAGGCCAGGTCTCCTCTAGCCCTCTACAGTAGCCATCCATCATGCATTATTAAGGAAAATAGAATCTGCATAAAGCAGCAACAATGCCTTGAAGAAGTTTATTTATTTATTTGTTTTATCTTTTTAGGCACTAAGCAGCACATCCAAGTACTCCGTAGCTGTTAGCTAATTACAAAGCATTTGATCTCTATGCCCCCAAGATGTGCAATTATAACCTCACTAGAAAATTAGGGAAATATTTCACAATTAAAAATAGTGGGACCAAGATGCTCTGACGAAGCTAATGGTGACATCTCACCTTGTGTGTGTGTGTGTGTGTGTGTGTGTGTGTGTGTGTGTGTGTGTGGTGGTGGGGTAAGTTAGTTTTGGGTACTGAACAGGACAGGAGGCTGATTTAACAAAGCCATTGCCCTGCAACCACAGCTGACCTCGCTGGAGGGAGACAGCAAAGAAAGAAGGAAATATACCATTTCCCAAAGCTTCTGCATTCATACCATACTTGCAGTATTTTAACTAGAAAGTAAGTTCTAGTTGAGAGGTAATTTAGCAAAGTCACAGTTCTCTAAGGTACCTGTAGCTCTGGTTCTGCTGCAGTGCTATCTATGCTGAGATCACACAGGCACCGCCACTTCTTTCTGGCATATCTCTGTGCAGATCGCACAAGGAAGACAATTGTCATTACCATTTTATTAAAATGTGTCCTATCAGCAACATTTTCCCCTCACATATCTAACCTCGTTTTTCCTTCCTTTCCCCCCTCTAATTCTAATCATCATTCCTCTCCATCACTTGCTGGGTCTAATTCCCTCTCTTCCTTCGTTTGCAAAGGACCTCTGCTTTCATCCTTGAGAAGGGCTTTAATTCGAAGTGCGACGCTGAATAAAGAAGGGAAGACGGAGGGAGAATGAGAGAGAGGGAGAGAGAGAGAGAAGGGAGAGAATGATATGGAAAGACAGAGCAGCAGTGGAGACGTTCGGGTGTCAATCAATCTGGTGCGAGGGGCTGCAAGGGCCCATGACTAGGGTGCGTTTGATCTGTGTCTTTCAAAGGGGGAACAGCGGGAAGGGCCATCACAGATGATTTGCCTCTCGCTGCTGGCCCTGGTGCCACTCTGACAGAGAGCAATCACAAGCAGGTTAATTCAACATCTACCTTCTTAATCTTTTTTTCCCCTGTCTCTTTCTTTTGGTCTCGTTCTGTCTACTTAGATGAAACACTGCTCTTTCTGCTACAACCCCCACCTCCCTTTTGCCTCTTTTGAAAGTAGGAGAGATCACAAGTGTACTTTCAATGCCTTTTCAAACCACCTATATTTTGATTGCTTTGGTCTTAATCAAGTAAAGAGGGTTGTTGATTTTCTGCATTCCTCCAGTGGTTTATTTACGTGTTGCTACCATGGAGCAAAATCTTGAGCAAACTGTAATGCATCAATGAAAGCAAAGTGGGATCAGATAATTTCTCTCTGGAAATTGGTGCTGAAAAGAATTTTCTTCAGGGGTAAGAAATACCAGCAGATGTATTTTTGGACCATTTCTTTTGCTGTCATTCTTTGGGTTCATATCTGTGATGTGGTGTGAGCTGAATATAAATTAGAGCATCAAGATGACATCTTGAAAACATGCTGCTTAACTTGACTGAAAGAAGAGGATATGTTTCCTCCAGATGACTGAAAGACGACTCGCGTACTAGACAAGATCTGACCTTCGCTCATACAAACTTGCACAATGCACGTTGCTTGCTATAGCGGAGTGGAATCACGGTCACATACAGAGAAATCTCTGTCTTTATTTGGTGTAACTGTTGTGTTCTCAAAAGGCTTAACATATCACAGTAAAGGGGACACAAAACAGCTAAATGAATCAATGAGACCTTCTTCTTCACTAAAGGTCAGCCATGCATAAGGACAAACAGAGGTGAGGGAAATCCAGGGGTGAAGGGGTAAGAAGAAGTGTAAAGATGTGGTTTGGCTTAAGGTGAGAGGGTACGGAGAATATGAAGCAGGGAGGTGTTTGTAAGAGTAGGTGAAGGTAGAAAGGTTCTGCTGGGAGGTTAGGACATGGAAGTCAAGAAGATCAAAGACAGAAGTTGGTCCTTGAATTTGAAGAATAGAAATTATACCAAGAATAAACCTGTTTGGGAAATTTAAAGAAATAAACTTTTCAGAGTCAGCACAAAGACACAACTCAGATCCATTCACTTTCAATAGGAAATAAACCACAGTGCCACCAGAATGCAGCCATTATCCAGTAATGTCCCTGCCTGGCCTTTTTCTCATGGAGCTCCCCTCCAACTCTACTGCTTTTATTTAAGGTCAAAGGGATAACAGGATAAAGGCTGTCCTCTCTGCTCCCCTGAAGGACAAGCACTCTGCCGATTGGATTTGGTGGCCTTCAAGGACAAAGGAAGAACACAGTGATACAAAGGAACCAATAGAAGAGGAACAAGATTTCATCTGTCTCTATGGCCTGAGTGATTGGCAGGGATGGATAGACCAGCAATCTGAGTGCTGCCTCTTTGTGGCTGGGTGCCCTCCATCAGCATTGAATAGCAAGACTTGATCCAGTGACAAAAACACAGACAAGGATTCTGGAAGATCTGACCTCTGTGGTATAATAGGAGTCTCGCCAGGGTTGCGGGGGCAGCCAGGTGATTTAATTCAGTGGAATGATTTCAAATGTTGATTTGTTTGTGGGTATATACTGTATGTGTGTGGGCATTGAAATTCAGAAGATTGGAGGGTTAATAAATGGAAGGGTTTAAATGTTTGAAACAGCAGAAAAATAGTGGACATAATATGTTCCCAGCTACCATTAAAGTGCCCCTGAGCAAGGAACTTAAAGGGGCAGTCCAGAGATTTACTGTGACACTTCCATAAAGTTGGGGAAACAGATTTAAAAATGAATTAAATGAAAGAAGAATGAAGAGATACAGGGAGAGACATCCTGAAATGTAGTCCCTAGAATGACTAAAGCTTACATGGCATAATTCAACTCAGTTCTATCGTTTGCAAGACCTTCCCTGACTGGTCTTTCAAATTCCACACCTCCAGTTTGTGATGCAGGTTTTCTGTTAAAAAGTTGACCCAAGTCTCAAACTTAAAAGCTCTTTCCAGAAATACACAACACACTACAGCACTCCCCATGACTAGCGAGCAGATCTTTGGAGCGTCCCTTTAACTTTCAGCTGATCCTCAGCTGCCAACAGAACAAAATCATAGTAGCAGTGGGCAGCTCCCAAACATTTCTGTAAATAAGTCTCCAAAGACAGAAGTGTTTGGGACTGTCTTCCAGGCACTGTTGTTTGTAAATGTAGGCATATATGATCTTAGTCCTGACAGGAAAATTTTCATTTGAGACAGGAATTTTATAAATAAGGCACTGAGGTACAGTAGAGCACCCGCGCAGATAATGCCAGGCCAGCTGCCAAAGTACATTATTGCACTCTAACCCTAATCCTTCCACCACTCAACCAGATCCTCCTAATCTGGCGACAGGGCTCATTTGTGAAACACTTTATTTCTTTCTATTTTTAAAAGACAGTCTCCTCAAGTAAAGACTAAACGATTAGTTACCTGCATGTAGGTAGGCGAGGTCTGGATTCTCAATATCAATGTGATTTTCCTTCAGATGGTTGCGGAACTCCATGGGAGAGTTGGTGGCATAGTTACATTTGGGACAGTTGTACATCTTCACACCCTCGTGTTTGCCTGTATGGAGGATGTGCTTCCGGATGTTCTCAGCACAGTTGGATCTAAGGGAGACAAACAAAGATAAAAGGCCTCATTTCTTTTTGGAATAAATAATAAAAAAAAATAAAAAAAACACAAAGATTAAAGGATGAGAGTCATGAGGGAGAAAACATAAGATAAACGTTTGGCACTGTTCCCAAGAAAGGTTTGCTGTACTAATGTTTTATTTTGTTGCAATGATGACACACACACACACACACACACACACACACACACACACACACACACACACACACACTCACACTCACACTCACACTCACACACACACTAGAAAAAACTCATACTGGGCTTTGGAGCTGAGGGATCAGCTGTGTTTGGACAGACTCTCAAAGCATTCATTGCCTGAATACGCCTCTGTGAAACAGGCCCACAACCACCAAATGACTGAAGAACCATTTTCACAAGTAAAGAAACACAACTTGTTACACAAATAATATTTACATCCTGCAAGTTCTTTGATAGTCTGCCATGCCCTTAAATATCTCTTAGATATTTTCTTTCCATACAGTTGTTCAGGTTTAGTGTGTAATGGTGCTAGAAGCAGTGGGTGACGCTTGCTTAGAGACTGTAAGTGGATCTTCAGGCCTACGGAGTGCGTTAGAGATATGTGTGAAAACATCCGTTATGCATTATGTATCTTTGGCAATTGTATGAAAGGTGTAGGAATAGTGGTGTATGTTGTGTGTGCGGCAGTTTGTGGGTCTTCGGGCTGGTCAGATAGGGCAGTCCAAGCAGTGAGCTACTGCAGGGTGTAGGATGTAATGATGTCAGCTCAGAGAGTCACACACAACCCTCTGCTGATTAATGATGCTGCCTGACCTGCTCCCAGGCTCTATCTAAACCTGCCCGCGGACACACACAAACACAATGGGCAAGACAAACATGCACATACATACATACATACATAGACATGACCAAACCTTAGTTTGCGCCAAAATAAAATTTTTAATCTCTGATCTGACTGCCCAGGTGCAAATCCACAGACCTGAATCCATAAACAATCCTATGCACACACACGTGCACACACACGCACGCACACACACACACACACACACACACACACACGTGCACAAGAGAGCACACACATAATGCATCATGCAAGCAAGCATGTGCAGTGTAGAACACAGTTTCATACACACACATAAACACACACCATCATGTGTTGATGGATGGGGCACTCGTGCTCAGTTTGGACCTGACATTCTCGGACAGTATAATACGCAATTACTCTCCCTTATCACCTTGGCCGGGACAATAAAGCCTCACAGTGCCATAGCTCACGCCAGCCAAGGAGAGAATTTGTTTTCACTTTTGCAGAGACACCTCTCTCCATCATGGGGCCACAGTCCAGCCCGGCTCCACTGGGGCCTAAAAAAAAAAAAAAAAAAAAAGAAAACAGAACGGGCCCTCTCTGGGTTCTGTTCACGCTGTATGAAATACATAAGCACTAGCCACTGGTGAGCAATGAGGGCTCTTCACAAAACTGAACACTACAGTAGGTTGGGATGCCACGGTCTCAACAAAAGCAAACCTTTTTTAAAAGCAGTAATCCACAGAAATAAAGAAATGTCTGTTTTTCCATACAGACGGGCGACAAATTAAACGAAAAAACCTGAATGAATGAGTTGACAAACAAGACAAATGCAGATGCTTTAAAACAGGACACGAGGGGCCACTGAATGGTTTGATGAGAATGAAAATGATGTGAATCAATTGAACACGTATGGGAAAATGAAGAGGGTTCCAGAGACTAGGAGGTTTGTGATTGTTTTTCCTTCAAATTGTCACCCATCTGTATATCTAATGAAAGCGTTTACATTTGCTTTGTGTCAGAGAGGTCTTCCTAGCCTCACAGGAAGTGATGTATTTGGATTTCTTGTTTGTTTGAAATTAAGCAGGAGAAGAACCAGGTTGCTGGCGTGAGCACTGATTGCCACGGGGAATGAACAGATAAGCAGACAGCTTTGAATGTCCAGAAAAACAAGGTAAAAGATGCCACAACACTGAACACACTTTGATTCACAAGTGACATGCAGTACAAAAACACCAGGCTCAATATCTAAAATTTAAATGCTGCCGCAGATGATGAACCTTAACAAAATCCTACCATAGATTTAAGGTCTTGCAGGTTTAGTCAGATTTACATTGACTGACGGCCCACAAATATGTACAGAACCCTTAAATATTTGCACATATTCTCAATCATTTATCGGGCAAATTGGCACACATTGTTGTGATTACTTTATCAGCCATCACTAGCAAAACTATAACAGGTTCACAGACAAATCATGGCCACATCTGTTGACTGCTCTTCTGCATAATGAAAAAAATACACACTTAAGAATTGAAACTGTCACATGCTCATGAATTACGGTAAATCATGCGGCTAAAAAATGCATTTAATACTAAAAGAACTGATTTCTTATTCGAAAGCGGGAGCATAAATAGATAAAATTTGAAGCAGAGCTAAAAGGTTCTAAAGAGAGCGCGGGTGGATTCCTAGGGGGGCCATGCTATCTCTCAGATATGGTAATGGCGTAATTGTCATATTAAAACAACACAACGTGCGTTTAGGAGTCAGCAGGTGTCACAGTTAGTGAAAGCCCACACCAGCCCTCCTACTATACACTGTATTAATTAGTCCAACACTGTTTCAACTTCCTCCCCCATCCATGCACTCACCATGGGAATCAGCCATACTGATGCTCAACGGATACATCACCCCTTCTCTGCCTCTTCCTGTCGCTCCCCTTTATTTTAGCCATTTCCATATTCCTCCTCCCAAACGAGTGTATGGTAATGGGAGAGGTGTAATTGAGAGGCGCTTCGTTAGAGGAGATTTAAATGTGTTTCTTTGTGTGTGTTAAGAGTTGGGGGGTGGGAGGGGTGGGGGGGTATTTGGATCATTGGTGCTATTTGGATCTTATTCTGCCAAGGAGGCCAAGTTATCATCATTAATGTCTCCCCCTCCTCCCTCATCTCTCCCTTCACTTTACAAGGTCGCAAACCTTCCTGGCATTGACAGTAAGCGTGTCATCCTCAAAGCTGCCATCGCCTCGAATCGAAACGAAATGCTAACAGGTAGATTGAAACACGAATGCCGCAGCATTCAATAAACAATAATAGCCCCAGAAGGATGGTAGCGTGGCAGGAGTCAGAGGCTACATATCAATTAGACCATTTAAGATGCAACTGTGGCTTTAATGAGAAAAAAAGAAGAGGAAAAAACTCCACATTGTGAACAATAGAAATGATTCTTTAAACACTGAAGTAAAGAAGTTTTGCGGCTTGCATAAATAGCTGGAGAATAGTCAAATAGACATCATTAATTGACAGCCCAGGACTCCCAGTGCAATATCATTAGAATATTTTTACCACTACTCCCTAACTATAATTATCCCCCCCATTATCTATCTCTGTCTGAATAGGAGATGAGTGGCATTTGATAGATCATTCACTCCCTGCTCATTTACATGCATTTGAGGAGCAGCCTTGATGGAGATCACATTGTATCAAGTGGGAAACATAGATGTCATCCATAACATTTAATATGGATATTTTAATAGTGAAAATCAGATGTATACCTGAAAAACAGATATAAATATTTTCTGTGAGCTAGGGCTGCCAGTCACACAACTTACTTTGCTTCAAACCTTAATATGTTTTACACCTGCATCATATTTATTTCATGTAAGCCCGGCTTACACTGAAAGGTCAAATGTGCTAGCTCATCTAGTAGCTCCTTATCGTGGTCAGGCCACCAGAGACGTCAGGGTTTTTGAACATCTATTCAGAGTGTAAAAGCAGGGTGGAGGTGAGGCCTCTTGGGCTGTCTGAGGCCCCCACATTCAATTCCTCATCCTCACATTAGTAAGCCAGCGGGGTGTTTCCACAGCCTCACCCCTCCTCCCACCTTGCCTGCCCCCCTCCCTTTCCTTCCTTGCCCTCTGGACGTCTCAGAACCCCTGGGGCCACCAAAATGTTAATTGGGCTTCTAATTTACTGTTTCATTTGCCGCTATCTGTAATGATCATTAAGTATCAGTGCGGGAACAATGGGACCAGGGACATTTGGCTCGTTCTATGTGCAGTATCTTTCTGATACTGCAGTTAGTCCAGTGCAGTGGTTTGATATGGGACCAAAATTTGCCCTCAAGTAAAAAAAATCTGCCAATTTATGAGATTAAATATTCTTTATATAAATGTTCAGTTCTTAAAGCCTTTTACCCACTAAGACTGAGTTTAATGAGACATTAGAAAAGGATTCAACAAATGTAGGCAACATGGTGTCTTCTTCATTCAACGGGTATCTTTCCTGGGTCCAGAGCTTTAGGGTCCCATGAGGTATAACATTTCATTTATATCAAGAGCGGAATTATAGACAAAACAACAAATTTTTGCAGTTTACAAAATGGGCAGTCCAAATCTAACCAGAGTAAAGCTGGGCTCAGACTACAGGAGTTTTAAAATCGGGTTGCATCACGCTCACGAGAAGAAACTTAACAGATTTTCCTCTCTCTTATCTCAAACATGCAACACACAAGACACACAAGATTTGAAAATAATCACACACTACAGCATATTATTAAGACTATTGTGCCAGACGGAGCAATGCACCACCTCACATGACCTCATGAGGATCAGATGTAAAAAATGCGAAATGGAGACTGACATAGCAGAATAACTTGTTATAGTAATGTTAATGCTTTTTAAAGCAGAAGGCTAAATTTGTCTGGATGCGAAATGGTTGGGGAGACAACACAAGTTGTCTATTCTTCAACAAAAACTGAGTGAGTTTTTAAGCTTCAGTTTTAATATCCGCCAACAACAGCTCTCATTAACTTTCAGACTGACGTAATCATCCAGATTTGAACTCCTGTATGTCAAACATGTTATCAGAGCGGCCCGATGAGTCTGCGAGAGGGTCAGAAGGGTCCTATTCCAAATCAGATTTCTCCTCCAACTGTCAAGAGGGGTAAATTGAGGTAAATCAGTCCAAAACTCATGTAGTCTGTGTCTGGTTTAAGAGTCAGCTATGCTAACACCTTTCTGAGGATGTCAGCATACTAACATGCTCACAAAGACAATGCTAACATGCTGATGTTTAGCAGGTATAATGTTTATAGTGTTCACCATCTTAGTTTAGCATGATAGCATTCTTCTAATAAGCACTGAATTAGTTTTTGCTTCGCAGGTTTTTTCCCCAAGCCAATGTGGGATGGGGAAAAATAAAAATGTTACCTGATCATCGAGCTGGATAGTAAGTCAGGAGATTTTATGCCAGTCAATCAACTAGAAGAAGATATTTCACTGGATATGTGAAAACTCGATCAGCAAAGTCATTAGAATTCATCCTCTTGGGACCATGTATATCTGTACAAAGTTTCAGCGCAATCCATCTGAAGCTCTGAACCAAAGTAGTGGACCAAATGTCACTGTCACCACTACAGCCACAACGTTAATGTGGCTAATAGAAATATCAGCTATATTTTAGTCTACAAACATTGTAGCTGAACTCAAAACATCTTAAAGAACAAGATGCAGCCTTATTTTGCAGTTAAATGATACTGACATAAAATCTTCAGAACATCTTATATGCATCTTAAATCCAACAGTATCAGTTAAATACCTCTCGATCCTTAATTGCTACAGTCAAGAGATACTTCGTGATAACTTTAGGTACAAGGGAAGATAATCCTTTGATAATTGCAAAATAATAGCCTGACTACAACTATTACCTCTCAGCATTCCCTTTTTTCTAAGTTGGACTGCATACAAAAGACTTATGAAATGAGTCGAGCGCTTCACTGCAGCGGAGCAGGTGTAGCAAGCTGCCGAAATGACTTTGTCACAGAGGGGAAAAAACGAATGAAGAGTACATCTAAAACCAATGATGGGTTTGAGATCATTCCCTTTCACACTCTTCTGCCACAACCTGACGAGGAAGCACAGGATGAGAGAGGGAGAGAGGCAGAGAGAGGGAAAGAGAGAGAGCGAGAGAGAGAGAGAGAGAGAAGGGGAGAAAGAGAGAGGGATGGAGATGTGCAACGCCAGCCAAAACTTTTTCAATTTCACCGACAATTTCCTGTGTAATTACTGATGTGGTATGATGGTGTTTTAATGACAGGGACCTGCCAGTGACAGTGACATTGTGTGTATGTGTGTGAGAGAGAGTGTGCGTGTGTGTATGTGTGTTGGGGGAGATCTAGCTGGGCCTGTTGATGATGGCAGAGTGATGAGATGGAGCCGTGCTGTGGAGATTAGACCTGTCTGCCCTCCACCTCTCCCCACCCACCCTTCACACACACACACACACACACACACACACACACACACACACACACGCACGAAAACCCCTAGCATTAACGCCACCTCCCCCCAACCCCCACCCATCCAAACTACCCCACAATGCCACCTGCTATCTCACCATCACACTCACTCACTTCTATACCCCCCACAGCCCCTCCCACCCCCACCCATCAACCCCCTGATCATCAGTGCCATGGTGGCAGCCATCAGCGCCACCAACCGTGGGCGGGTCAATGAGCCGGTACCTGTAGTCGCACCAGGGGCAGCGGTACGGTTTCTCCCCAGTGTGAACACGATTGTGCCGCGATAGGTGGGACTGCGTGGTGGAGGCGAAGCTGCAGAGCTTACATTTGAAGGGTCTCTCTCCTGTGGGGTGGAGGGGTTGAAAAGATAAGAGACAGACAATGGTGATGAGACCAAGATGACATTCACTGACAAACACACACAGACACAACTGACATGGTTTGGCCAATATGGTGGCTTCATAAATCCTTTTTTTTTTTCATAAAGCTGTGTGGAATTAATTGGAGACTAACAAAAAGTTGGCAAAAGCATATTTTTCTGACACAACAAACCCCTTAATGATTCTGATTTTTTTTTTTTCTGTGTAAGGATTAGTTTTGTATGGGAGTTTTAGTTTTTAGCTGAAAAACTTAAACTTATGGAAGTGTCAGTTAAAGCTTTAACACTTATGTTTGAGTATATAAATCACTTAAAGCGTAATCATTTGAAACATCTGCTTAGTTCAAGCCCTGTAGTGCGTTACTGGTCCGTTTGTATGTAAACACTGAAAATAGTTGAAGAGTAATAGAATACTGTAGAAGAGTAAGCTTTTGATGGAAATCCAGATGGGAGATTTATATCATTAGATGATAGATGATTACCATATTCGACACACAGCCATTAATCTTACAGAAATAGAGACTTGATTCTAAATTGTAAGGGCATGCTCGCAGGGTCAAGGTAAAAATTAAGCTTGAAAATCAAAGTGGCAGACCTGATGTCTGTAAGTTTAGCAACAAGTTGGAACATTGTTCATTGCTGGCAGAGGTTTGTGCTCACTGGGAGCTTTGTATTTTAATTATTTTGTATTCCAAATGGCAGACCAGAGTATCGAGGGAGTATTTTACTCAACAGCTTTAGGGATGTCAGTGTTTAAAACCTCCAATAAAACCTCACCCTGCTTTAAGGAGCTGCCAACCAACAGAACAGTTAACAAGTTTATTAACATGGCATTTGATTGACTCTTGCAGTGCCCAGTGTTTGTTAAAATACTGCTTCAGTGACATTTCCATACTGCCAAGAATAACGCTAGCCACCAAATCCTGAAGCATTTTGGGAATGAAAGCAGAAATATTTTTAAGATTCTAAATAATGGCGCAAAGTTGTCTTTAGAAAACCTGAACCACAAAAATATTGGCATTAGCTGTGGCCTTTAAAATTCTGTCTCAGTCAAACTCTGACAAGAAAACACTGTCAGACAGGGAGGTCCCTTCATATGCAGCTGCCTGACAACAGATTTGAATATGCAGCTAAATCTGTGGAATTGACACATGTCAACGCAGGAGAGGAAGACAGAAATTGGAGGTTTCGGGGGGGAAATGGCAGAGAAACTGAGGAGCAAACAAAATGAATTATGAAAGGCTAAATGAATATTTATAACAGGATTCTTGATCCTTGGGCGCCTGCCAGACAACGGTTAAGAACAGTATTTGTTTCACTATCCCAATTTCCAAAAAAGCACTCGTTATTGACAGCCTATCTGAAAAATGCAATTTCCCTAAGCGACAGAATGACATGGTGAAATGATAACTGAAATTAAAAATCTCAGATTCAGTCAGCCATACTGGTACACATGCCTATCACTGACAGCAGCATGTCACACTGATGTGCCTGTGTGTGTGTGTGTGTGTGTGTGTGTGTGTGTGTGTGTGTTTGAGAGAGACAGCAAACAGTTGCTAAAACTATGTAAAAAAAATAAATTGTGGCTGATCATATCTTGAAGTGTCAATCACCGTCCGAGATTATGAAGGTTCACACACATACAATGGTTAGTGTGTGTTTGTGCTTACCGGTAGATTATTTTACGTGGTGAGTTCAGGATGTGTGTGTTGTTGTTGCTTACCTGTGTGTTGGCGCCTGTGTTTGGTGAGGGCGTGTCTTGTGCCTCCAGCAAAGCCACACAGGTCACACAGATAGGACTTCTCTCCTAAAGAGACAGAAAGAGAAAGGGAAGAGTAAAGCATTAACGTCTTACAGAATCGGATGTTAAAAGCCAGAGAAGAAAAAAAAAAAGAGGAAATTGGCAATAAAAAAAGACTTTAAAACATAATAAGGAAGAAGCAGTGAAAACCTGAGAAGGAAAAAAGTTAATTTTTGTCTCATTTATACTATATTGTTTAGATTCCAATTGCGCTTATTCAATTAAAATGAAAGAAAACATGTTTTGAATATGTATGAAGTGTATTATGTATTATATGTGTTTATGTGCATTTAGATCAAGTTTATTATGACACATACATGCAAGTAATGTCATAAATAAATAAAATGAACTGCTACTACAGCTGGATTCATTAACAAGTATGTGAAGCTACACGATTCATGACATTTGTCTTATTTTAGTTGCTTCCCCTATATCTGCCTCAACTAAATATAGCTCAGTATAATCAATCTGTCACTAATACTGTTTTATTTTTTGACGTTAAAAATTACAATCAAATAGTAAAATAAAATAAAATATTGTGGGGGGGTAATAAGTCATTAAAGCAGATTTATGAAATCCTTGAATCCTTTGAGTGGAATAGTCTGTTGGAAGAAGGAATGAGTGATTCTCTCTTCACTCAGAACTACTGCCGAGGTGCCACTGAGCAAGGGAAGTGAGAGCTAAAGTGAAGACAAAGAAGTAGAAAACGTGGCGTTAATGGATTGGGAGAAATGTGTAAAGGAAGAGAAAGGCAGAAACCGAGGAAAAAGGAAAAGACAGACTGAACAGATGAGCAGCGGGTCTAGTTGGCTAACAGATGAGCCAAGCAGAAGTCACAGATCACTAGTGTATATCCATCAGAGCTCTCACAGCTAACTAATTCCTCCAATCAGATGGATCCGTGTAAATATGTCAAATGGGGGACGGGAAATTGCCAGTGTGGTTTATTGACTGTGATAAAATCTGAAAAGCACCGCTGAACATAATTACATACTTGTCAGAGCCATAAAAATTAGCTTTATTATCAATGGGATGGTTTTGTACAACTTCATTTGGGGGCGATGCCTTCCAGATGGGGAGCGTGGAGAGCTTTTTTACACTCCTCCTCTCTTCCCTGCATCTGGCTCTGTCATTAACAGCATGATGGTCCCTCTCTCTCTCTCTCTCTTTCTACCTCCCTCTTTCTCTCTGCCAGTGCACACAGGCAGTCACACACTCCTGCACACACACACACAGAGCAACATTTGTGATAAGACTCACTCAGGGAAACACATGCATGTGCACATACAAACACATTTTTAGAATGGACAAAAATGTGCATGCAGATGCACACAGACACAGACACAGACACACACACACACACACACACACACACACACACACACACACACACACACACCGAGGATGCAGATATTCCCACCTACACACACACCCACAAATCAAACTGCATGTGGTGTGCTGGTTCCACTTGTACATGTTGTGTACCAGCACATACATGGAAACACCGTAGGTATCCCATTCTAGCATACAGACACACACTGCATCACTTCTAAATATTCATCTAAATGCTGATGTTGAACTCCAGCCCTCGCCACACACTGATAACACATTTGGGTGACTCTTCCAGCTGGGCCTCAGCGGTGCTCTGCTCCTCTTCTGCACAGATAGCAGCTTTCACTGAGTCCGCAGAGACAAAGCAGCCTCAAGTTTCTTCTATTACACCCATTTAAAGCCACTCGACTGTGAGAAGAGTTTTAATGCAGTGCCACTTAAAGGGGAGAAAAACAGCCTTAAAAAGGTGCATTTGTTAGCCGATTCACAGGTTCACTTTTCTATCCCAGCGTAAAAGGCCTTCAAATGAACAATGTTTCATATAAATAAATGTCCATTCTGCTTCTGTCTGTGGCCGGCCGCATGAAACCACCCTTTACATCTGCTGAAAATGTGCTACAGTGTAAAATATTTTTATATTTTGCAACAGTATTTTGTGTACATTAAATGGAAAACTAAAAAGTATAAACTTTATCAGCAGCAAGGGAAGACAGAAGACATCCCAGTGACTGACAAGTGATCTCTAACAAGCAGAAACTATTTCTCAACATCAGTCAATATTCACGACCAAAATAACCTATAATCAAAGTTAAAGTCTGAACCTCAACACAACTGTTGATTCAAATATGGCCAAATCTCGTTTGGTACTCGTAAGCACTTGACCACAGTTTTTTTTTTTCAAATACAGGAATATGTCATGTGGACTATCCAGAACTTTTCCTGGCCCCCAACGCTCATAGAAAGAAAATAGGTTTCAGGGCCTCTGATGCAGAAACCTTCTTTATTCCTGTGTCTCTAAACTCCACAATAGTTACTAAGGATCTGGTCAGACCTTTTCTCACTATCAGAAAAACAGAAAAACAGCAGCGGTTCCTCCTCCACTCCTCCCCTCCTCCCTCTCTTCCATCTCTCATTACGCCCAACGCTACAAGACCCCACCACAGAAAAATCCATAGCCATCGATCCCTGCGCCCAGCCGCGGTCGCCACAATTATTCTTGAGGAGGAAACGTTGGCGATAAATTACATGTGTGCTTTTCATCTGCTGTTCTGTGGCGGTGAGCCCTCTGAGGACCTGGGTGGGGACGGCGAGGTGGGGTAGTAGAAGAGTGACATGCTGTCAGCACCGGCCAGTTAAAGAAGCATGCAACCCCCCCCCCCCAACCAACAACACAACCTTGCAATGACTACATTCATTCCTGGTTCACCTTAACCTCTACCTTTCATCGGTACACGAGCAACACTTAACCCTTACCTTAAACTTCATCATCGTGCAACATTAACCCTAAAACCACGGTTAGCAGCCTCAACCTTAGGTCTTAATCTAACTTGAACTGAGGCTTAACATCAAACCTCAGCTGCTCCCTTGCAGAAGTGAAGGCCAGACACACTTGGTTGCAAACAAACACAAATCAAGCTTAAAGTCATACATACTGTTGAAAAGCATACATGAGCCAGTGTACCCAAAGTCTAGCTCCACACATGAAAAGCCTTAAAAACTACATTTCCTGTTAATGTGCACTGAGAGCCCTTAAACTTTTTGGCAATTTTAATATTGGCTCATCGCTTCCCTTTTTTTCCCATGATACACCTCAACCCTCCACTCCTTACTGGAATTAAATATGCCTTATTGCAAGACAATAAAAGAACTTTGAAGTCAAAATATACAACCTCTCTTTGCATGTGTGTGTGAATATATATATATATGTGTGTGTGTGTGTGTGTGTGTGTGTGTGTGTGTGTGTTTTAAATAACCCCGGAGGCGTCTGCATGCAGCTATAATTGCCTCCCTCATTAGTTATGTTTTAGCAGGAGCGAATGGGAGGGCAATTAATTTTACCGCTTAATTTTTGACACGGAATCCGCTGCTGTATTGATGTGCTCGCCATTTTGGGTCTCATTTTTCAGGAAAATTAATTGACAAAGTGCGAAGATTTATCAGCATATCGCCAGATTAAGCGACAAACTGAAGCAATGAGGAAATCAATTGTGGCCCTGTCGCTGTGTTCAACCCTCCGCTACCCCCCTTCCTCCATCCTCCCTACTCCCCACCAACGCCCAAGAGCCTGGGAAAAGCTGGGTGGGTCAGACGCAGTGCACTTATTTATTTATTTGAGTCGCTCATTCATCAGCCGTTACAAATGACCCTGGCGGCTGACGACCACTGAATCCCCAACCCCCGCCCTGCTCCCCCTCCCTCAGACACGACTGGTGTGTGAGGAGGGAGTGATTAACATAAAAAACACACAAATCAGAGAGGAACAATGAATCCCGTTAGAGGCAGGAGAAGGAGAGTGGAGGTGTTAATTTTTTTTTCCTTTTTGGGGCGGTGGGCTCTGCATGTCACAGCCAGCAGCTCTATCCACAGGAGGATGAAATTTGACATTTTCTGTTAAGAACTTACTTGTTTTTTTTGTTTGGCTATACAATGTAGTTACGGTGTAGTTAGTTGCAAATGTTAAATATGCATTACTGAGTTAGTCTTTACCAAGTGTTTATCCCCTAACAAACTGTTTACTAAGTTTTATTGTTGCTATGCCGGTCAAGCTTTGCAAGCTTTGCACACTCACAAGGCACACATATTGTTTAAAATGATAATGAAAGTACATTTACCACGTGAACAATTTATTAAATTCTGAAACAGTTGACGTTTAAAGCTCACTGGTTTTTAAATTTAGGACCTTGTAGAAGGGTCTTAAATATGCACTTGATAGCGACATACATGTAACATGCTAAAAGACTGAGCCTAAAGCTGCATGTCCCAGGCAAAAAAAAGTATGCATCGTCATCCGTAGATCTAGAGGACGTGTAAATAAATAAGCAGGGTTGTTCTTGTCAGCATTAGAGCGAGTTAGTCCTAGTGTTATATGAATGAATAAGTAGTAACAAAATGGCTGCTTACAATAGCTTACACACTTGGACAAGCAAGACAGAGATTTATACTTTATTGTCTGTATTTTAAGTTGTATGTTTCACATATAAAATTAAAAGAAAAAAAGGCATGTGTTTGGCCAACATAAGAAAACTTGCTTGGCTGGAGTAAGCTTCCCCAAATCTAATAAAGAGCAGGACAGGGCCACTAACACTAGCCAAAACTCCGATCCAGGACCCACTGCCTGACAGTGGTGAATAGGTAGTGAATGTGCTGTTTTAGAGGGGTTTTTTCAACATAACCTGAAGCCCCACAAATAATGTACCATATGATGCTCCTGGCTGTGGAGTAAAGCTAGCTTAGCTGGACATGCTATCGTTTGCAGTTTACATCAGAGCAAACAAACACACTTTAATTTAATGTGCTGTTACACTTTACTACAGTCCCATCTAAATCGCCTCACCATGTAAATACTGTAAGTCTTGAAAGGTGTGCCATGCGTACTTACGGTTGCTAAGCTATGATCTGACCCTCACTGTTTGGGGGAGGGGTTTAGCAACAGGTCTATGATGCAGATTTTGTCATTCCAATTTGTGTTGCATGGTTCATAATGTACGTATATCTTGTATATAAATGATTATGAATGAGTATGTTTTCGTGATTACTATTTCCTAACTCTGTATATTGTCGGCAGGGCCCAATGCTCAATCTGTCTCATGGTGTTTGAGATCATGACACTGACTTCTGTTCGAGGGGTTAGAAATGTTCTTTTAAGGGTTATAAATCAATTACACACACTTGACGAAGAGCAACTCATTATTCAGATCAACTTGACACTGATAAAGTTCTTGGTAGACGGTAGTACTTTCCTCACCAAGTGACTTTGAATTTAAAGTTCCAACAAATGAGGTAGATGTGTGTATCATTACACAGCTCCAGTACAAACTCCCCAGTTAGTCATCGCCCTGTGAGCCTCTACATAACCCACACACATATACACTTTAACTCACATCCCTTCCATTACTGACTGCTCTGTTCCCAGGAAAGATTAGTTCAACTTTAAAATCTCCTACTTATTTTATTAGTATTGCATCTTAGTGCCGTGAAGGAGCCGATTTATAACCTTTAAACAGATCACACACATGCAGATAATATTTCAGTGTGTCAGGTTGGATGCTGGAATGTGATTGCAATGATTGTATAGCTCTAGCTAACCGTCTAACCCGGCACCAATTACAACTGGCAAAGGAGTGCTGGGGGTCACACTAGAGCAAATTGTGTTAGCTTTTTTTGGGTGTTTCTAATCAAGTCAGGTCTTGTCGCTCACTAAAATGAGGTTGTTTCAGGTTCAATCTTAATTCTCCTTTTTTCTTATGAGTATACTTGGTCACCCTTGATCTTTCAAGTTCTCTCGTTTCAGCACTTTCCTGTTTTCTCTCAATCACTTCACTCATTCTCTTCAAGTCTGTGTTTCTTCCTGCCAAACTCGCACAAAGACATACGCACACACACCTCCACCACACACCACCCCACGCCTCTCCAGGTGACAGCTAGGTGACAGTGTGACAGCAACCGCCTGATGGGGAATGATGAGGGCTGGAAACAAATGAAAATAAAACGTCTAATTATGTCAGAGGCGCCTTGACGTTACATCACTGTTAAAACACATTTAAAATAACATCCAGCAAGTCTTGGGCCACACACACACACACATACACACACACACACACACACACAGCAGGCACCCGTGACGGATGGAGGGCTCTCCTGCAAGCGCTCAGTCAGGCTGTCAGGCCACTGGCTGCTGCTGCTTCTGTCATTGACTTAAAAGGGCATCAAGGAGCTGTGTGTGGGACATTACTGAGGCCGAGGGGAAACTGCTGGGCTGCAGCATAAAGACACTTTCAGAGAGGCCGACTTGGGCTCCTATCGAGGGGCTATTATTCAAGACAGTATCCTCGCACCGCCCACCGCACCATCTGTCTATCCAAAGTTTTTAGTAAGTAAAAAAACATGACTCAGTACAGTCCCACAGTGTACTGTACTGTGCGTACAGAAATGAAAGGGAAGGATGGAATGGGAACAAAAAGTCACAGCATATATATATATTTAGATATATAAACCAAACGAAAATACCCACTGATACAAGCATTATAAAGGAAGAAAGAGACTAAACTACAGATCCAGTTGGTTGGTGATTATCTGTATGAAGCTCTACAATCTGTATTCAAAATTTTGATTTATTTAAGTTAGAAAATAAAGTCAAATATTTGTATCTTCTGTATAGTTCCTTTAATAATATACACAATATACTTTATGGATTTAAAGAGACAAAAACTCAGTTTCTATCCATCTATTTGCTATAAATCATTACAACTAATTGAGAATCTCCTCAAATTATAATAGTTGTCTTTTTTTGGATCAGAGATGGGATGGTATGAATAAACATGTGCATTTTTCCTTTTTTCCCCATTTTGAAAGAGGAACACACACTGGACCGGTTCAGTGTGGGAAAACACACTCTCGAGGATCAGATGGATTTGACGAACACACATTTGCTGACCAGCTGGGTTTCGAGAACACACACACTCGCTGACCAGATGGATTTGAGGGAAATACACATGATAACCAGTTGGATCCGGGGAATACACACTACCTTAATTCCCCAATCAAGCAACCCTCCAAATCTGGAGGACGGAAGAAAACAAAAACAAACATCTTTTTCTGTCTGTCTTTGGCTATTAATTGTCTCTATTAAAATATAATTGGTTGACATAACATTATATAATCGTGATGGTCCTATTGAGATCAGGATGTAAGGGTTTAGCCATCGAACAAGAGTGTCTGCAAAACCGCCAAGAACTAGTTCTCGACTTTCTCTGGATGTGGAAAATCAGTACAGATGGACAAGTCATGGCTATTATCGGCCAAAAACGTGTGTATATTTTTTCCAAACAAAGCTGTGAAGATTCATAATTAATGTGAGATTTTCACAGTTAACACATAAACTTCATTTTGTTAAACAGGCTATAGAGGAATGAAAAGGTACATTTTGTCTGATCCAAGTATAGTGTTTCTCAATAAATAACCTTCTGTCTCTCACTCATAAAACTAACAAACACTATTTGCCTGTAAAAAGTGATTCTCATGAATTCTGCAGCTTAGAGTGTCCGTCAACATGTTTATGGAGTAGGACAGCAGTAACAGCTCACGGTGGAGGTTACTAGCTCTCAGTGTCTCTCACCAGTGTGTGTCCTGTAGTGGTCCTTCATGGCTGACAGGTTGAGGAAGGCATAGTGGCAGGACGGCCAGGCACACTTATATGGTTTCTCCCCACTGTGCAGTTTCATGTGGTTGTTCAGGGCCCATTTTTCACTGAAGGAGCGCTCGCACAAGTCACATTCAAACTTCCTGCAGGAGGAGAAGAGAGGCAGAGGGGAATGAGGAGGAGGAGGAGGAGGAGGAGGAGGAGGGAAAAAAACGAAGAGTTATTTACTGATCCCAAAGCTGACGTAAAATGCTAGACAATCTACCCTGTGAGAAAGGAAATGGAGGTTGCTGGGTACTCGCGCACACACCCACGGAGCACGGGGCCATATGACTGCGTGCTGTACATCTACGCCCAAACACACACACACATAAACACAACACACACAGAATGCAGTTGGCTGCTGGTGTGTCATGTCTGTATAAGCAGGCATTGATTTTTCTGTCCTGGCCTGCCACCTCCACCATTTATTCTCTGCTTTGCACCAGGGCCCAGAGGACTAGAGAAATTCTGTTACAGTCCACACACACACACACACACACACACACACACACACACACACACACACACACACACACACACACACACACACACACACACACACACACACACACACCGCAGGGCCAGTGGTGAGAATAGAGTTGACCTGTCCAGCGTCCCTGACCACTTAGCCAGGGCTAAATGAACAGTTAGCAACATTTTAACTCCCGCCTCTCTCTTAAGGCCCCTGTATCAGAGCTTCCCTCCATCTTAACCTCTCTACAAACACCTCCTTCTAATCTCTGCTCACATAACGAACATCAACACACGCTCTCCTTCAGATAGTCTGTATCAATCCAATAAATGCAAAAGCATGATTAATCACGTGTGGTGTGTGTCGTTTTGGTGCCAAAAGCCTCATTTGATATCGGGACAAAAATGTGACTAATGCATGCCGTTCTTTCTTTACTCTGGACATCTGTCTATTCTTCATGCCGACGCCTACCACCCGACAAAAGCTGTGTTGTTGTTTATTTTAATCAATGTGTAGGATGTTTGCACCTATATTCATCTGCTGTGTTATTAGGCTTCAAGAAACACACACAACACACACAAGTAAAAACAATAGAAAAAGCCTGTGCTTGAATTAATCTTTACCCCCGCGCTATAATTTAGGCGCAGAATGACTAATGTGCGAGTCATAAACAAATGAAGTCGGGTTTTGGGGAGCATTCGTCTTGCAGCGAGGGCCATGTTATTTTAGGGAGGGCGGCTGTCTTTAAGTCCTGATTGTGTCGCTTAATCCCCGTGGTATCTGTTTCATAGCGAGCAGCATGACACTCACCTGAACAAATAATGACTCCAAGCAGCATGTAGCATGTGTCTGAATCAATAATTCAAACTCATACATCTTCCTTACTGGAAGAAGGGGGGCACAGGAGAACGAGAGGGAGGGAGGGAAAAAGAGAGAAAGGAGGGAATTAAAGATGGGGAGGTGGGGAGAGATAGAAAGGAAAATGTGTCCTGGCTTCCATATCAATCTATATGTTCCATGAAGATGAATCTAAATGTGATATGGATGTCATCCTACGCCAGTTGAGAGGACATTTTAAGCTCACTTACCAGGAAGGATGGAGCAGCTTTAAAATGGCGCCTTTATCACCTGGCTCTTAGCTCAAATGCATATTTAAACAGCCCTGTTTTCTTCTTGTTCTCATCAACTGACTTGGCAAAGACTTTATTTGACCAACAGATGTATGTTTGCATCTGTATTTCCTTCCCCCTTCCTTCCTCCCTGCGGTATTTATAGAACAGCTCGTCGCCCATGCCACCGTGGGAGAGGTAAATAAGATGAGTGAAGAGATGCTATCTTTTATTGTAAGCATTATGCACAACACTCCTGCTTTATGAGCTAAACGGGCCATTGTTTATCACAGGGCGTAATCGCAAAGTCAGGCAGGCAGGCCTTGACGTGGGCACGCGGCATGCTGGGATGGAGGGAAAAACTGAGAGAGAGAAAAAAAAAAGGCAGGAGGAGAGGAGAGAAGATGGAGGAGTCAGGGCTGGCAGAGTTGACTATCAGTGGGGGTTTTGTAAGGATGAGAGGAGGGTTTGCGTCTGTTTTTATGGGATCAGATGGAGCGCTTTGATCTTGTCCCCGCATGTCAGATCCCGTCACGATCCACCGTCTCGCCCATACATATGCATACTGCCTCTAAACAGCCAGGCACCATGCAAAACACACCAAAGGTAGGGGGTAGAGGGGAGGGAGAGAGGGAGAGATGGAGAAAGAGAGAGAGTGAGAGAGGGGTTGAGTGATTTTGTGTATGCATGTGTAGTTATGCACGTGTATAAAAGAGGGAGAGGGGCTAAGAGAGACAGAAATAAGAGAGAAAGAGAGGTCTGTCAATGTAAAATATTGAAGACTTATAATGCTTTCTAGATCTGAATTTAAAACCAACAAAACAACCACAAATGCTGCCAACGCGACCTATTTCAGATTCAACACAGTCTGAGGAAGTTCTGGAACTCATAATTTTTAGGATTTTAGGGGTGTCAAGTGTATGTTTTTGGCTATGGTTGGAACTGTATGTAATGAATCAAAAGAAGTAAGAAGCAGCCTGTTCTGCTTTCAACCCTACATATGAATGAATATAGTTCATAGACATGATATTATTGATGATGATATCATATTATATATTAAAACAACACAAGAAATGCATAAATTATTATCAGTTGTACGATCTCTACTTCTAAGGCCTCTAAACTGTAATACTTTTGCATATTTTTCAAGAACTGCAGATAAACAGGTCTAAAGCACATATTAATCGCATGCAATCATACAATGCTTATACCTTGTGTGATTATAAAAGACAGATGCATTGGCATGTACATATCACAACTGGCTAGAATAATTGTGTGCACATCCGCAAAACTTTAGTGGGAGAGGAGCTGGACACAAAAGTACAACACTCAATCAGGAATCAGAGCGTTGTGACTGGACACACATCTAACTCAGGCAAAAAAGCCCATGTGAGGGAAATTAGATGTATATGTGGCTAAATGGCCAGAGATGTCACAATAACTTCATTAGATTCATATGCGCTTAATCACAAGATAAATAAAATACAATAATATGTGGTATAATTTTTAGACGTCTTTTACAATTCTATCACACATATATCTCTCATTTCCTTCACATGGACATTTGTGGCTTGAAACATTGCAAATAACAGAGCTCTGATATCATTCATCATTCATCCATTTTTATTTTATTTAGGTAAGTATTTTGTAATGGTAATTTCTTTTTTTTTTTTTAAACCCTCTATATATGTGTTTGGAATTTCTGGTGTTAAACTATTGCACAATAACAAGACCAAACCACAGTCAAAAGATAACTGTTATAGACAAAAAACAACAAAAAAAACAACATTAGTTAGAATTATACTCATCATTTTGCATTGACTACTCCTACTACTTTTTCACATCATTGTCAAGCTCTGATCAGCAGAAGCCACAGTGGGAATAAACTGTAATCGTGAGCGAGTTCTACTTCCAGTCATCACATCTCTGCTTTTCTTTCTCCTGCATCTCTCCATCCACTCCCTCTCTATTCCCTCTTCTCTTTCTTTTTCCCCCTGATCACGAAGCAAGGTGACATGATTGACACCCCGTGCAGATTTATTCAAAGACCCAGGTGGGCCTATTGCCTGTATGTTCAGAAAGCTGCATGCTACTGTGTCTATACTGTCACTCATTACCATATCTATACTGTGGTGTGATCCTGTCTGATCAGTTCAGGCATATAGGGCTACTGTCAGAACATCACAGGCCACACTGGCCTTAATTGTGATATAAATCCCTCAGGAGGAGTTACTGTACCTCTAACAGGGGTTGGAGAAAAAAAAAAAGACCTGACTCATTACCACACACTCACTATCGCCCCCAAGTGGTGAGGTGGTGCTTGTTGAGAGGGATCTTGCAGAGAGTATGTTGAGTGTAAACTGTAATAATGCGTTCTGTGTGAAAACTAAACAAAAGTGTGTTAAAAAGAGGCCAGTTTTGTATGATGATAAGCAAAAAAGGATGGAAAAGGGATTTGGATGTTTATTCTAACCGCACAATTCACCAAATCAGACAGAAAATATGACTCTCACTGACGTTGTCATAGCTTAGGGCTAAGCTGACACCCTTGCTCCCCCTGACTGCAAGTCTATGCTGCGGAGCATCACACTAATTCAATTGGCATGTAAACAAACAGATTTTCTTTTTGTAATTGACTGGATTAATTGCGTTGGCCTTTTTGGGCAGCTAAGGATTCTTTGTCTGGGTTTTCATGTTGTGTTGGCTGGTCGGTATAGAGGAAAAAAATCTGCCGATGCTCTCACACTGCAACACAAAGACAGAAAGAGAGAGAGAGAGAGAGAGAGAGAGAGAGAGAGAGAGAGAGAGAGAGAAAGAAAGAGAGAGGCCGACTCTCGCCTCAAGCCAAACTGACACAAACAGACAACTTCAAAGTGAAGACTGTTGTTTATTTGGTGAAGGGAAAGGGGGGAGAGAGGGGGGGAGAAGAGAGAAAATTTATCTGATATGCAACTGTCAGGAGAGCATTTTCACATGCAAAATAGCGAGTGAGTGAGAGAGATTACCTAGAGGGAGGAACATGACAGCATTCACTAGGGTCAGGATGGATCATCATCTTCAGCCTCCCCTCCTCCCTCGCCTCTCTCTTTCTCCCTCCATCGCTCTATCTTTATCTCTCTCGCCCTCTGTTTCCCTCCCTCCTTCCTTCCGTTTTCCCCTCCTCTCCGTTTCCCTCTCATCCTGTTTTCAGACTCCATCACTCTGCACTTCGACAACCCAGCAGCTTAAATCCAGACTAAATTAGCTGAATGAAGATTAAATCATTTGGCCCTGAGCTCTCCAAGATATTGGGAGGAAGACTGAGTAAGCCTTAAATGGTGTCTGACTGGGTTCGGACCTATACATGTGTCTGAGGAGAGGCTCTTCCTTCAGTGGCAGTCAATTGAAACCTGATTAGAGGGGGGTGTTGGGTAAAAAATGGGGAAAAGATTACATTTCTGGGACAAGTGTTTCCTAAGTAAGGACGCTGGCTTCGTTATTTTTCGTTTGCCTGCACAATGTCGACCGATGACAGGCTTGT